TCCGGGAGGAGCGGGAGGAGCCCCGCGCGGGGTCAGGAGCGGGAGGAAGGAGGAGGCCCGGGCAAGAGGAATGGGGGTGGGTGGGCGGGGAGCGGGAGGAGCTCTTCTTGGGGTTAGGGAGGAGGGGGGAGCCCTGGGTAGGAGGAGGAGGGCAGGAGGAGAGGGAGCCCGGATCAAGTTCCGGGGGAGCAGGGGGAGTGGGGGTGGGGGCGCGGGGAGCGGGAGGAGCCCCCCCCTCCCCGCGTCAGGGTCGCTCAGCGCCTGCAAGGAGCTCTGGCAGTTTGCCCAGCTTGGGCCTTCCGCCACCCCCGCTGGTCCGCGGGCTTTTTTCTTGGTCTGGCCATGCCGTCCCTGCCTTCCCATCGGGAGGATCCCAAAGTACCCTTGGACCGGGACGAAGATCTAGTTTACAGACTCCTCTTTTTCTCAGGAAACCCGATTGCAAGAGTGATTCATTCTGACATTTCTTGGCGTCATTTCGTTTCATGTTATCCATGCACCCATTCCTTTTGTTTAAATGTGTGAATCCAGGGGCTAGGCACAGCGCTGAACACCGCTGCACCCTTCGTGTGTCCTCTTTAAAAATACCTCACGGTGACCACATTGTCTCTGTGAACTACTTCCTGGCAAAGCCCAAAACTGAACCAGAAAAGCACAACAAAGTCCTTTTTTAAAAAATACAGCCAGAATCCATTTGGCCTAACCTGAGGTGAATAATTGAGGCGTGAACTGCAGAAGGTTTCCTTCTGATGCACTAAGATGTTTCCTGTGAATGAATCCAAGGGGGAAGAATGACTACGGCCAGGAGTCCCTGCAATCCACAGAGCACAGTTGACTTGGGTGCCCAGTACATCACCTGCACACCTCATTACGCCAAGCAACACCAAAGGTGAGTTAGTTGAAAGGGGAGGAGTCATTCTTGGTGACCGTAGGATGTAAAAAGGTAGAAATCATCCAGTTTTAACAGGGTGACACTTTGCTTCTTGTAATACAGTGAAGATATAAATAATATTATCATTGCTGATGGCGTTAGCAGTAAGAGGTAGGGAGTCTTACCTCCTGGTGTGGTCCTGAAGGTCACCTGAGATGCTACATCCTGAGGGCTCAATTTAAATATGAATTACTGTGTTGTGTTGAGGAAGAGACAACTAGTCAGTCTTCACCAAATTCAAAATGGGTGGACTGCATACCTTTCTATCTTCACTGACCTTTAATTTTGAGAGATACAAGAAAATAGGCCTTCAGCTAATGTCAGCAAAAGATGTATGGATTCTCAAAACGTTTCTGTTCTTCACCAGAATTATGGTTTATTAATTTTTTTGAAGTACGCTCTAGGCCCCACGTGGGGCTTGAACTCACGCCTCCCAAGATCAAGAGTCGCGTGCTCTACTGAATTATGTTTTATTAACACGAAACATACATTGAGTTGACCATATGAAGATTTTTAGTTATTTAGAATGATAATCTCTAAGAATTCTTGGAAGAGAATACAGTGTTTTTAAGCTAACTGACTGTGGTATATAATTATATCATGTATATTGATTTATTTCAGTTTTTATGTTGACCTGTTAGCTCTTGGCATTTTGAAGCCTCTGACCTCTCCTATTGAAGGGATGATGATGAAAGAGGGAGACTGTAACTTTGTGGCACCTCAAGGAGTTTCTTCAATTATTAAGCATTACTTGGACGAATCAGGTGGGGATAGGATTTGCTCTGCTTTCTTTTAAAATTGGCACTTAACGATAAAAGTTGTATACATAATTAAATATTAATACTATAAAGAAAGTTATAAAATAGATGTTCTCCTCTTCACCACTCAATAGCTAATTTTCTTTTCCTAAAGTAATCCCTAATAACGGTTTTCAATGTATGCTTCTAGAAAAAAGTTTGTGCATCTCTTGATTTACATGACTGCCTCTGTTTATTTATTCATGTATGTGTATATTTATTCTTTTTAAGTATACAAATGGGATTATTTTTCATAAACCGACACCTTGTTTGGTCTGTTCATAATAAATCAGTCCTCGCCTCCCCGTTTTCTGTCTACCTCCTATTGGTTCTGTTTCTCTGGAGAAGCCTAATACAGCCTAGACTGAATCAAATCTTAGGTCTGTTTTCATAACAACAAATTCAGTATGCTTCGTTCTTTTCAATGCCTGTTCAGTGTTACATTATTTATAAATAAACATACATTGTATATGTAAGCATTAGCTTTCTGGAAAATATTTAGGTTGTTGGTAGGGGTGAGGGGTTGTTTTGGTTTTAGCTAATACAATATGACTGCACTGTCTAACCCTGACACGCTTCTGTAAGTATATCTGTAGGACCAATTTCTAACAGGACAGTAGCTGTGTCAGATGGTATGGTGAATTTTTAATTAAGCTAGGTGGTGCCGTCTATTGCTCTTAAAGAATATCTCATCAACAGTGAATGAGGAGGCACCTGGGTGGCTCAGTCGGTCAAGCATCAGACTCTTGGTTTTGGCTCAGGTCATGATCTCAGGGTGGTGAGATGGAGCCCCACGTCGGGCTCTGAGCTCACTGGGGAGCCTGCCTCTCCCTCTCCCTCCACCCCTCCCACTTGTGTTCTTTCTCTCTCTCTCTCTCTCAAATAAATAAATAAATCTTTAAAAAAATTTTTAAAAATTTTTTAAAAAGCAGTGAATGAGAATATCTCTTTCTATACATGTTGATATTATGGAGATTTTAAATTTTTGCCAGTGTGATCGGTTCAAGCTGGTGTCTTTTTGTGTTTTGATTTGTATTTACATAATTATGAGTGAGTTTATGCATCTTTATGTTTTTAGCGAGCTCTTTCCATCTTTTTCCTGTGACTTTCTTATTTATAACCTTTGCCCATTTTCTATTAGGATTTTCATTTCTTTATATGTTTCTGAATGTTTTGAAAATGACCTTTTTTAAAAAGATGATAAATGATCTTGGATAAGAAATTGATTTATTTCTTTATTTTTTTAAATTTTTTGAAATTATTTTTTAAAGATTTTGTTTATTTTTGTGAGAGAGAGAGAGAAAGAACACACACAAGGCGGGTTGGGGGGTAGAGGGAGAAACAGACTCTCCGCTGAGCAGGGAGCCTGATGCAGGACTCGATCCCTGGACCCTGGGATTACGATCTGAGCCGAAGGCAGACGCTTAACCAACTGAGCCACCCAAGCACCCAACAATTCCTTTTTTTTAAACAGAAGTAAGTTTCTTGATGAATCATAAGTAAATTACCCAATTCAAGATCACTGACGAAAGGTGCTAAGAAGTTTTGTTTCAAAAGCTATTTGTAGAATAATTACCGTTTTGATTTTCTTCATCAACTTTTACTTATTGAGAACTCCAAGAATCCCTGATAGCAGGCAAGGGAGACATCAGTGAGATTGAATATACATACAGCATGGGAACATAGTAGATGTCGCTCTGGTTAGACCATTTCTCCATCTAGAATTCAGTCTACAATGGTGTATTACTCAGGATTTTCCAGAGAAACAGAGCCAAAAGGAGGTAGATATAATAGGATATATGTGTGTGTGTCTGTGTGTGTGTTTGTGTGTGTGTGTGTGTGTGTATGTGTATATATATATATATATATAGATATAATAGGATATATTCATATATATATGACTTATTATAAAGAATTGGCTCATGTGATTATGGAAGTTGGCAAGTGTCAATATCTTCAGGATGAACTGGCAAGTTGGAGACAAAGGAAGAGATGATTTTTCAATTCAAATCTGAATACAAGGGGAAAAAAAAACCCAAAAAACCTTTGTCCCAGTTTGAAGGCTGTCAGTCAGGAAGAATTCTTCACTCTTGGGGAGGGAGGGTCAGTCTTTTTGTTTTATTCAAGCCAATGACTGGATAAGAGCCATCTACATTAGGTAGGGAGGGTAAACTGCCTTAGTCTACCAATTTAAATGTTACTGTCATCCAAAATCACCCTCAAAGACAGACCCAGAATAATGTTTGACCAAAATCTGGACACTCCATGACCCAGTCAAACTATTGCTTAAAATTAACCATTATAGAATGTGATACCATTGGATATTTTGTAGAATGTCACCAATCAGCTTCATAGATTGCCTCCATATAACGTTTAAAAATTTCATTTCCATCATGATTTGACCCAATTTGGATGTGCATGTTTACTGAAATCCTCGAGTACTTACTAACCGTATTATATATCTATCCATCCATGCATGCACACATCCATTCAGTAAACACTTGCTGAGTACCTGCTGTATGCCAGACACTGTTTGAGATGCTAAGGATACAAGAACCAAAGTCCTTGCCCTCTTATAGCTGATGTTCTGGCAGAGGGACAGTCCTTGAATACAGAGTACCTACATCCTTCTTTTGGGAGGTGTTTGGGAGGAGATATGTTTTATCTTACAATTTTGCTTTGGAAGCTCTTGGGAAAAGAGGTCATATTTAATTATTTGTGGCTCACATAAAATTTAACAGTACCCCTGTACGTACCAGGTAGCTATCATGATATATAGATTTCTGTATCTAATTCTATATATGTATATGTAACATACATATAGTTATATATATTAGGTGATTATCAGTTTTAATTTAACCAATTCTTAATAAAAACCTGTTTATATTTTCAATTTGTACAGCCTCTTGAGACAATGATTTTATAGATTTTTTTATCACTATGTAAAATATTATTTACTTCAAAAAGTAATTTTTAAAAAAGATTACATACTGGAAGAAAGTTTGGAAGACACAGAAAAATAGCAAGAAAAATGTCACTATAGACATCAACAATAAGTCCATTATGTGACCTACTTTCTGCTTTTTTAAAAAATGAATTTTTATATAATTGAGTTCAAGGTCTGTATAATTTGAGTTTATATAAATGATTTCTTTGTTTATTTTAATATTATCTTTGCAATACTTCAAGTCTTTTCCCCTCTTTACCCAGATCTGTTGTTATAGAATATATAGACCTTATCTGTACTATTTTAAATTTTACAATTGTATCCTTTTAAACATCCTTTAAACTTCTGTAAAGCTTTCTCTCCACTAAATGGTCCACCAAAGTGTTTTAGTGTTTCCACAACATAAGTGAGAGAGTTTCTGGAATCAGAATGACCTGGACTGAAATTAACGTTCTGCCACCCCTTCCTAGCTATGTAATAATAGGAAAGTTTAAAAATCTATACCCTGGTTCTTTCATTGGAAAAATGAGAGTAATAACAGTACCCACCACAAAGTGTTATCGTGAGAACTAAGGGATATAATGCATTCATTGTCAACCCAAGCAAATAGTAGGCTAGGTAAAGAGGAACCTCTTGATAAATGTTGGTTTAAAAAATAATCTCCTTGAATGAAGTTGACCTTTGCATAAGAACCCAAATTGTGAAGTCATTCCAAAAATACTCTACAGTTTGGAATCGATAAAGTTTGCAACCCCGCAATCTGTTGGACGAACCAGTAGTCGTTTAGATTGGACCCGCCCTCCAGGGAAATTATCTGTATGGGATATGTCTAATCATGTGTGCCTTAGAATGCGTTCAAATCTCTAAAGCCAATATTTAACTAGAACAACTTCCCAGAACAGCGGCCTGAACCGCAGGGATGCTGATCCAGTAGGTCTGGTTTAGGTCTCAGAATGTGCATTTCTAACGGGTTCCGAGGTGCTGCTGGTACTGCTGGTCTGGGGTCCACACTTAAGAGAACCACTGACATACCCCTCGCAGAATATTTTGGGACCATTGGGATACATGTCCAAGACATTTGGCCAGGTGTGGAGAATTTCTAGGTCAGTAGACTTCAGTTCCCTGAAACACACACACCTGCTCACCATGACCAATAACCATGCAGAGCTCTTTCCCAAGGGAATATTATGTGAAAACACAACAGAATAAAGCGTATAAAATAACTTGACTTCCTAGAGGTCCAGATCAGGGCCAGAACCAGAGTGAGGTGAGTAAGTTGACCAGGTCGGGGTGAGACATTCTAAATAAATAGAACCAGGTGAGGGGAAACTGTTCAGGGTGGAGTGGAGACAGCGGGTAGGAGTTGAAAGCTCCAGTTATCTGCACCTTCCCTAAGCAGGGGCCTTAGGGAAAGCCTCAGGCAGGTTGGAGGCTGTTTCCTAGCCCTTGCTCTCATCTATGAACAGAACGATGCTAGTTGGCCTGAAAGAGATGGACCCCTGGGCCTAGTTAGCACCTCGTTCCTTCTAATATATTTGCCTTTGATTTAAAAAATGTGAACGTTTACAGTGTTGTCTCAGGATTATTCCAGGGACAGTGAAGGTGTCTGAGCTCTGGAGACATGACATGGAAGAAGTGGGTTTTTCAGATAGATAAGACATACCTGAAACATGCAGATATTTTGAATCAATGTCCGAATGATGGTGGAGGGACCTCATAGGTGAGGAGCATCACACTGAGCTGGAGGACCCGCAGGAAGGAAGCCTCAGGGCCCAGGGTGGACCTAAGCCAGATTTTGAGTGGCTAGGATCATGAGGCGTCCCCGGTAATGATGAACAGGATCTTCCAACGGGCTATTTTATTATTTATTATCTTCTTCTTTATTATAATTTCTTGCTTTTCTGTTCCTGAGGTTGCCTAAAAGTAGATTTGTTTTTAAATTAAGTTTTCTGAAAGTTGAAATGTGTGGGAAGTGCTTGGTCCCAAGGAGACTTAGTGATCCAGTTATATTTTCTTATCTTTTGGTTTACAGTCCCTGATTCATTCTCTTCAACAGGTACTTATTAAATCCCTGGTATGTGCTGAGTACTCTACTGTATATGCGATACGGTATTCACAGAAACAAAACAGGCATAGTTCCTTCCCTGTGGGCTCACAGATTAATAGGGAAGAAAATATTAATCAAATAACTACTCAAGTAATTACTAAAATATTTTGGTGATAAAGAAGAAAAGTGCAATGAGAGGACATTCTCGATTGTATTTCTCCTAATTCCAGTTCTTAATGAAGGTAACTGATCCACCAACGAGGGCTAGGATTTCTTTCACAGACCCCTTTTACAGGTTTAAGAGGGAATCTTAATTTCTTTAATAGGGGAATATGGCTCTTCTCGCTATTTCTAGAATTGTTAACACCTTCACTAAAGTGTATTCCTGCTCTTCGAAGGTTGTGAGCTTTAGATTCGGGTGGATATAGTTTTATATCATGGAGTGACATCTCTGAATTTGTTTCCTTCTTTGTGAAATTAATTGATACTATGTATATCAAGTACTTATTATAGTCTTGGCATATAGTAGCTGCTTAATGAAAGACAGCTGGGATTCCTAGTATTGATTGTAGCAGTAGGGTTTTGTACCCAGGGGCGGGCATCGATCCCAAGGTCCAAGGTGCCAGAAGGAGAGGAATTTCTACAGAATGAGAAAGGGAACCCCTAGAAGAGAGACTTCACTGTTTAATTCGCCTGAATGGATTCAGCGTGTGACTCTTCTGTTTCTCCTCGTTCATATTGGAAATCCTGATTATGTGAACATGACTTCGCTTTTGGAACAGGTGCTGATGTCTACTTCAGACACTGTGTGACCCAGATCAACCTGCGAAATGACAAGTGGGAAGTCTCCAAGGACAAAGGTCCCCCCGAGCTGTTTGACATTGTTGTCCTCACGATGCCAGTTCCTCAGATTCTGCAGCTTCAAGGTGACGTCGCAAACTGTGAGTCCCGGCCTGCGCCGTCCACCTGAGAGCGGGGCTCCTCTCATGGGGGG